TTCCATTGGTCCAAAAGACGAGATACCCGATGGTTAGTACAGTTATGACCCCAACGGGAGTGGCTCCGCTGTCTATACTGGCCACAACAGACCACCCTACTACCAAACAACACTTCCGATACGCCCAATTGTCCCACTTCTTGAAGGGGGATCCACACTTCATTCGAGGAACAAGGGCACACACCACCTTTGAGACCTACTGCACCACACACAGCCTTCAGACCAAACACCTGTCCATTTTCTACAGACTCCTAAGCACTTCAAGTCACACCCTATTGCCGACGTTCACGTCAGCATGGGAAGGTGAGCTAAATATCACTATTCCTCAGGAAACATGGCACAGGATCTTCACGCACACACATAAATCATCTGTCAGCACAGCAGTAAGGGAAAGCACGTACAAAAGGATATCCAGGTGGCATTACTCACCTACCAAGATCCATGCACTCTTCCCAACAGTACCTGATATATGTTGGAGATGCGGGCAAACTAAAGGAACCACAGCACACATTTGGTGGCTATGCCCGCCTATTCAAACCTATTGGCAGAGACTAAGAAGCCTAATAACATCTATCACGGGTTACCAAGTATCACACTCCCCCGAAACCCTCTTATTCCTCATACACACCACCCACATGCCAAGCCACCTACGCAAACTCATAAACCATATGCTGACAGCAGCGAACATGCTGATACCACTTAAGTGGAAAAGCACTGGGGTCCCATCAGTACGTGAGTGGATACAGAAGGTGGAATTCATACGGACCATGGAAGAATTAAACGCCTCATACTCGAACCACTACAACACATACATTCTAACTTGGCAGCCATGGTTGACCTACCTAGAGCGTTAGAGATACCTAAATGCCACCCTCACCCGACCCATATATTACCTGCACGACCTTCATCCCACCCCCCCTCCTCTCCGTCCTGGCTCTACCACATCGAAAGGTACAACCCTACGAGCCGAACCCATACCCCCCGACCAATGTCGGTAATATGCTCTTTACCTGGATTCACTAGAATACTATCTTGTCAAGTTACACAATGTTACAAATGGGACAAAGGGAAAAAATGTGCAAATACTAAAGCCTGTGAATTTTGCAACGATATTTGTTAAGCCGATGTGGCTACTGTTTTATCTGTCTTGTAACACCTTTTTCTTTGCGCAATAAAATAAAGATTATAAAAAAAATTTAAAAAATGGAGGGAGCGTTGCAGGACGAGGGGAGGTGAGTGTGTCAGAGTGACAGGATTGGGTGGGGTTTATTTGAAAGGATGAGTGTGGCATGGCAGGGGCAGGATGCGTGTTCTTTACGCCATTTGAGAAAACCTATATTGGTGAAACGCATAATGGTTATTTTATATTGTGTATTTTAGATCAATTAAAGGTTTTTGGTTACTTTACTGTGCGATTCTTTTTTTATTGTATTTTTATGCACTTTTACTATTTTTATCATCTATTTACTATTTTTTGAATAATCACCCTTTTGAAAAAGCCGACTGGCGAAACACGTCTCGGATGTTAAAGGAAAACCACCCCATTGATTTTCATATTTGGTATTTCTACTCATTGTAGTTTTTTATTGTTTTGTAATACCCAATAAATTGTTATTTTATCTGATACATCTATCCAGTGGATCTTCCAGTTGCTTCCTGCATTCACATACAAAGAAGGGTTTTGCCTCCCTTAAAGGCATAGGTGCCTGTACACATAGAGCCTTGTATAACTGGCTCTATTCCAGGTGAGCAATTCTATGTACTACCACCTTGATTACTGTTTTCATCTAACAGATCTGCACTAGGATATTTTACTTTTGTTTCCATATATCTTAAATGCTTGTGAGCTGTGGATCTGGAGGAAGGTTTGGTATAACCATATATACCTGGGCGATTGAGATTCGAGACGATCTATAGGCTCTCTACCATGTGAGTTGGATATACATACTCCTTCTGTACTATACCCAGATTCCACTGGCATACAGCACTATTATGTGTTTTATTCTCTCATTTTAGACAATATTGTCTCCTATATCTCTATAATTGGGATAAGTGTCATCTGATCTCCTCAATATTAAATAGGGGTAAGACATTTCCCTTTAGCGCTCCACTGTGTGATTCCTGTGGTGGTGGTGTAATCCACCTGGTTCAGCTTCTTTTGCATATATCCATCTGTGTGGGATTGGGATACCTGCATGCGTGTTGAGCTGCTGTATATATATATATATCTATATTCTGCATTAAGCGCCAATTTAACATTACACAGAGCACCTCTTTTCTGGGTAGTTCGAGACATCGCAATGCCCCACCCATATGATCTGCCATATGAACTAATGCCAGTGCAGCACACCGTGTGTGTTTACATTAAAAAGCCTGCAGGGACCGGCTATAGACACAAGAACAACTTTATTAAGCTGCAGTGGTTCTGGGGACTATAGTGTCCATTTAATGTGAGGTAAATTAGAGATTAGTGTCACTAATAATATACTAGATTGCTTACTTACAATCAGATGACGATGGTGATGGGCTCTGGCTGCAGTCTTGCTCCACTGGTCTGGTGTAGAACAGGACCTCTGGAGGCTGTTTGTAACTGTGGTCACAAAATTCAATGTTCTGGGAGAACGGGAAGCAGCTCCATTTTTTGGGGCCTCTTACATAGCTCAAGGTCTGGGCCCCAGGGCCTGACGGTGAGTATGCCCATAAAGCCCACCCATAAGTCCACCTACATGTTCCACCCATGAGTTCGCTCACAGGGAGTAGAGTGTGTAGGGGATGTGTTATGTGTTACTGTAGAGGATCTAATGTGTGTGCTTATGGAATGTAGTGTTTAGGGATACCAGTTTGTGTAGGTGATGCAGTGTGTATGTAGTGGAAGCACTGTGTTTTTGTGTAAGGGATAGAAAGCAGTGAGTGTTTGTGTATAAGGGATGTATTGTGTGTTTCTTGTTGTGTGTAAGGGATGCATTGTGTGAATCTGTGTTTGTATGCATAAGGGATGCAAAGTGTGTTTCTGTGTATGTAAGGGATGCAGTGTGTTTCTGTGTATGTAAGGGATGCAGTGTGTTTCTGTGTATGTAAGGGATGCAGTGTGTGTGTCTGTAAGGGGTGCGTTGAGTGTGTGTAAGAGATGCATTGTGTGTTTGCATGTGTGTGTAAGAGATGCATTGTGCGTTTCTGTGTATATGTGCAAAGGATGTATTGTCTTTATGTGTAAGGGTTGCATTATTTGTTTCTCTGGAAGCATGTTGTGTTTCTGTGTGTATAGGGATGCATTGTGTGTGTGTGTGTGTGTGTGTGTGTGTGTGCGTGGGGTGTGAAAGAGCTCCCTGTCCTGCCCCCTGTCCATCCCTTAGAGATCTCCCCTGCCCCTTAGTGGTCTCTCCTCTCCTCTCCCCCCTGCCTCCCTTAGTGGTCTCCTTTTATCCCCGACTTTCCATTAGTGGTCTCTCGTCTCCCCCTTAGTGGTCTCTGCTCTCCTCTGCCCCTCTTTCAATTAGTGGTCTCTCCTCTCCCCCCACCCTCCCCTATTGGTCTATCCTCCACCCCCCTCCCTTAGCGGTCTCTCCTCACCCCCCTCCCCTAGTGGTCTCTCCCTACCCCACGTTCTCCTCAACCCCCCCTCCCTGTGTTTCCTCATCTCCCCACATTACGTGTTCTCTCCTTCATCCCCAGCTCCTGTGTTCTCCTTCTTCCCCCCTCCTGTGTTCTCCTCTTCTCCCCATCCACCATTCTTCTCCCCTCCTCCTTCCCTGTAATCTTCTTCTTCTCCCCTCCTCCTTCCCTGTAATCTTCTTCTTCTCCCCTCCTCCTTCCCTGTAATCTTCTTCTTCTCCCCTCCTCCTTCCCTGTAATCTTCTTCTTCTCCCCTCCTCCTTCCCTGTAATCATCTTCTTCTCCCCTCCTCCTTCCCTGCAATCTTCTTCTTCTCCCCTCCTCCTTCCCTGTAATCTTCTTCTTCTCCCCTCCTCCTTCCCTGTAATAATAATCTCCCCCCCTCCC